TCCTTTAAGCCATATTGGAGAGTATGGTCTAGTCCAGAAGCAATGGATGGTAGATCTTAGAACCTTTTAGATCCTTTGTCCATAAAATTATAGTCTTTATAAGTTATATTGGTCCATGCATGTGTTAGGATCCTTATTATGGTTCTCCTTGAGTTTTGGGTCCCATTAAGTTATGTCTGGGAGTAAAGTTTCCAATTTGACGTGTTAAGACATCATTATGGAATAGATATGAGACTTGGGCGTGATGGCTTAATCGTTTAAGCATTTAATGGTGAAGGTGGTCAACTGCGTCGTATGATGGGCATACTCGACTCGTATGTTGCGCATACTGGCCACCAACATAGAACGCAAGGCGTAAGCCTGAGTACACCGGGAGTACTCAGTAGCCATGACTTCGCTTGACTTTCTAGGTTTGGACCACTTTTGGATCATAAGAGTTTTGGGCCCTATTAGGCCATTAGCCTTCTGATTTTTGGGCCATTGTTAGAACTTGGGCCTTCATGAAATTAGGTCATTATAGTTTGTGAGCCCAATTAGGAAGTTGGGCCATATTGGGCTTTTTGGTGCTATTGGATTGGACCTCGGATTTTGGGCCAAGTGAGGAAAGGGTAAAATGGACTTTTACCTTGAGGGTGGGACAATTAGACTAGGACTGCAACTATGGAATGTGGACCAATTATTAATTGTGTACTATTTGATGATGCTAGCGCGGGGATTTTTTCGGATCAACAGTCTGAGCTTTATCTGAGATATTCAGCAGCTAGAGGTGAGTTTCCTGACTATGCTTGCGGGATCGAAATCACAAATGTTGAACCATGGTTTATTATGATTAGAATGCTAGTTATCCAGTGTGACTCTTGCATGTATGATATTTGATATGTATACCGGGCGGGACCCTATGCCAAGCAGGGCCTGATAAGTATATTGTATGTTGTTTATCTTTGTAATTCTTGAATGTGTGTATGTGTTTATATGTATACTGTACGGGGCCCAATGTTAGGGGGGCCTAATGAATGTGATGATGTGGGCCCCATCACATATTTCTAACAGATCTGTTCCGAGCGAGGCTCAATGTCGGTCGGGGCGTGTTATATGTTTGATATGTATGGTATGTGGTGTTTTGGGGAACTCACTAAGCTTGGTAGTTATAGTTTTCAATTTATGTTTCAGGTACTTTCGGATCCAAGGGGAAGAGCTCGTGGTGATTGCATCGTACACACCACATTGTTCCGCATTTTAATTGACTCTGATGCATTTGGATGTTTGGGTTATACTTTGTTTCCATTATGGTTTTATGAACATGTTTTCAAAGATAGTTTTATTAGTCTAAAAATTAAAAAATTTTGTTTTAATTTTTGGGACGTTACAGCTACAATAAAAGTGTACTTATGGAATTTCACTTAACACTTAAGTGTACATGCAACCTAAAGGATTTATGTGTTTTTCACATCTAATAGCAACATACTTATGAAACACACAAACTAAAACCCTATGAACAGAAATTCATAGTCAAGAACACATACCTTTTTTTGATTCCAATCAAGCTAGTCAAATTCTTCTTGTCTCCTTGGAAAACATAGCTCCAATAGCGTACAAGCCTTTAATGGTTCACACCCAATATACAAGAAAAATAGTGATTAAAGGAGAAAGGGAGGGGAGGAGAAGACTTTCATTCTCCACCATTAGGTATGAGAGAGCCACAAAATTTGGTACACCATGGGTCCTATTTTAATTCTAGTTAACTAGCAGAAAAAACCAAATTTGAATGATTACAATAATAAATTTAATCTCAATTCAAATCGTTTCCTTATCAGCAATTAGGATGCTTCTAGAAACCCTAAAGTGTCTCCAAAAACCATTGATGCCGTGGATGGTTCTAGAATTACCTCTTTTATTCAACTACTGAACAATTACAATTCACCTCTTGTACCTATAACTAATTCCAATTAATCCCGAATTAATTCTAGATTAATTCTAATTAATAATTACTCAGTTCTGACTATTTTTAATTAATTTATATTAGTTATTAACTATTATTAATTAATTTATTATTTGTATAATAAATTAAAAAATAATTAACTACCAATTTGCAATTAATATATTAATCATATTATATATTAACAAGTCAATTTATCTCTCTCTCCTTTGATCAATCATAGCCATTTCCTAACCCAAAAAGAACTTTAATTTTATTAATCAATATTATATCAATTTAGTTAGAACTTTCGAAACTTAATCTAAAAAATAGTTCTAATCACAAAATCTATAAATCTTTAAGGCTATTTGTCAATTTGTAACAAGCATTAAATGTTTAATTAACAAAGAAATCCATAAAACTACCTAATGCTTATAGCCAAATTCAACAAGGAAGATGGTGAGCATGCTAAAAGAAGAGGTTGAGAGGTTAAGAAGACAATAATGTTAAGAGATCATGGTAGCATGTAAGGGTTTCAGTTCAATTTAGTTCATGAGATTGAGAAGGTAAGGACAATATGGTCAATTTAGGTTTTACTTATTTATTTCATGTTTTCAAAACACAAAAAGGATTATCATTTATTTAAAAAAATATATTAAATGGTTTAAAGTTTTCAATTAATAAATAGGATATTTAGCTGGTCTTTTGCTACTTTATATGAGTGAAGAATAGGGATTTTGGCTAGTAGTGACATTATTCAAAGGACTTATCTATGCTCCAATGGAAGGATTATATTTGTTAACTTCGTTTTGACGTGTTCTTAACTTATTACGTATATGTAATCAATATAGATGGTAATATGAAGATCGCTTCATTGGCTTCCTATTTTGGATGTAGTGAACAAAACTCACGTACAAAGATCTCATATATATCACGTTCAAATTCACATTTGAATTAATTGAAGAAAAAAAAGTTAATGAATAGAAATTGGTTTATTTAAATAAACAGGAGCCTTGAAGACGCTTGAATGAATTTTGAAGTTCTCAAACATTCCGGTACAAGGTTATTTATGGTAAAAAAAAAATTAAAAATGTATAAAAAAATTTGACATTAGATATCCATTTTTCATGTTGTTCGGTGTTTCTCCTTTAATATTGAAGGAATCATGGCTCACTGGTACTCTCGAGAACTAATAGAAGAAACATTCATATCCTAACAAGATAACCAAAAGCCCAAGAGATTTAATGGTGTTTAACTATTTTACGTTTCTTCATTCGTTCATGTTATTCTAATGTTCGAATGATTATCATGTATAATAACACATATATGTGAATTCCACATGTAAATATGATATGATATATACATATATGAATATTACATGACATATTCACCAATGAAGATTACATGTTCTCTTCACATATGAATATTCAAATATGAGTAAAAATATTCGCATATGAATATGACATACAATATTCATATGTGAATATATATATATATATATATATATATATATATATATATATATATATATATATATATATATATCACATGCTATATTCACTTATAAATATTACATAGTATAATTACATGTTCTATTGATGTATGAATGTTCACATGTGAGCAACAATATTCACATATTAAAATGTCATTCAATATTCATATTAGATATTCACATTTGAGTATGCCATGCAATTTTCATATGTGAGTATTACATGATATTTATTAACATATGAATACTAAATGATATATTCACTTGTAAATAACAATATCTACGTATAAATATGTCATGTAATAGTTGTATTGTATATTCATGTATATTGTATATTCACATTTCATTATGACGTTCACTATTTATATGTGTATAATATATGATATATATTCGCTTGGTGAATTTTACATGATACATGATACATTTATTTATAAATATTACATTGTATACTCATATGTGAATATTAAATGATATATTTTCACATAATATTAAATGTCATATTCATATAAATATGTGATTTATATACAAATTAAACGAAAAAACATAAATTTAATAAATACATTTACAAGTCCACATGTTAATTAAATGTGAATAATATAATCAAAACCGGCTTCATTCATAAAATTACATATGATACAATTACATGCAAATCTTATATGATATAATTATATTTGAATATTGGATGGTATATTAATATATGAACATTACATATAGTATTAGTTCATAAAAGTAGTTATTTATTAACATATAGATATTGTGTGATGTGTTAACATGTATTATATTCTCATGTAAAATTTTTTATTATATAATCACATGTAAATTTTAAAATATATAATCACTTGTGAATTTTATATTTAAATATTTCATGATAAAATCATATGCGAATATTACATTATATAATCACATGTGAATCCTATATAACATATACATATGTATTTTTGTGTGTTTTTTTAACATTAATCAATTTTTTTTTTCAATTTTCTTATTAATTTGGTAGAATCTGTAGAAAATATTGAAGAGGTGAAAATTAATAAATTTCAAAAAATATAACAATCTTGACATGAAGAAATCACTACTAAAAAAAAGCGCTATTTCCGAGGGATACTTTCCTCAGAAATTCCTAGGAAAACGGCGTTTCCGAGGAAATGCCGAGAAAATTTTGTGCGTCGGTAAAACCATCCTAGGAAATGTTTTGTAAGGGATTTCCGAGGAACTTTCTGACTCATTACCTAGGAAATGGTTTTATCGTAAGTACTGAGGGTTTTCCTAGGAATTTTGTTTCCGAGGAATTTCCTAGGAAGATCATTTCGGAGTAATTTCTAAGGAAGATTATTTCCGATGGTTTTCCGAGGATGTTTATTTCCGATGAATTTCTGAGGAAATTTATTTTCGAGGAATTTCCAAGGAAGCTTATTTCCGACGAATTTCCAAGGAAGTTTATTTCTGACGAATTTCCAAGGATTATTTTTGAGGGAACTCCGAGGAAATTTTTTTTCTGTGGAACCTTTTAGGAATTTCCTAGGAACAATGCACCTGTAAAAAAATAAAAAACAAAAAAATCAAAAAATTTAGCCTAAAGTGCAAAAAAGAACTAATACAAAAAAACTTAGTTCATTCCATATATCTAAAAGTCATACAAACGTTTACACTTTAGAACATAAGTTTCAATAATCGTGTAAAGCAAAAAGATAATATAGAAGTCTTAAAACCGTACAAACGTTTACAACAAATAACCTAAGAAGCATTGGATGGATTGGATGGATTGTCGGGACGGTTATTAGTGTCATATCGTCTCATGATCTCGACCATTTCCGCCATTTATTTTTGCATTTGTGCTTGTCTTTTGGCCATTTCACCATTTTGTCGGGCCAATTCGGCATGAGCTTCTTCTAATTCCTGGACCTAAAAAAATGTTAAAGAAACATACATACATTAGTAACATAAAAAATAGTAAAAACAAAGTATATATTAACATTGATATCTATTATACCAACATATATTTCACTTATAAATGGAATGAACTTAAATTTTCGTATTCACAATAGCAACATATTATCATTTTTATATACAATAGCAACATACTTTTATTTTCTATCAATTATAGCATTTTACCTTTTTTTCATAATACCAACATACTATAATTGTTATTTATTATCAAAGACAATATACTTATATGTTTTTTAAATAACAACAACAACTTTATTTTATCCATAATAGCAACAAAATTGATTTTTTTTTATCTATAATAACAACATATTTTATTTACTTTGCATTTTTTTTATGTCAAATAAAAATACCCGCTGTTGTGACCGCTGGTACTCAGAAGAGGTCAGTTTGTTCCCGTTGGATGATGTCCCCGTGACAACGAAATGTAGATCTGAACTTCCTACCCCGTAAATACGTCTGCACTTGCCTCTCCCTTCTTGTGCTTGCACCCACAAGTCAACATCACCCTCTGGATGTTGAGTTAGGTCCTCCCCGTACTTTTCAACCATGGCACTAGTGTATCTCTCCTACAATTTATCAAAACAAAACGATTGTTATTATTGTACTATTTCAAGTTAAAGCACTAATTATCTATAAAGGAGAAGATAAATTACACATATTGCTCTAGCAGTAGGTGTACAAAACTCCAACTCTTGAATTGTATCATAATCTTTAGCCTTGAATTTTTTCTTGGCCTCTGCAGTAAGGTGGGTAATAAGAAAAAGTTCCAGAAATGTAGGGATACGCTTCAATTCCTTTTGCTACATAAAACACATAGTATAATTAGTGTAATCTATGATTAAGTAAAACCAATTACTGAATTATATGAATATTGATTCGCATAATTACCAATTCCAGTCGATACTGATCATAACCCCTGGATCCCCCTGTATGTCTCGAAACTGTACCGGTGTCGTCACCGCTCATACGGTTGGCTCTCCCGGCCACCGACTTCTTTCTCCAAGCATCTGTGTCCCAATACTATAAAAAGAATATCTTCTCTAATAAATGAAGTTTTTTTTTGCCACTTGTCACATTCTCATTCATTTTGCCACATGTCATTTTGTAGTTATTTTGAATTAATTTTTATTCCATATGTAATTTTGTGGTTTTCCTATTTTATTAAATTCCATATGATATTTAAATTTAATAATTAATGCATATCAATTTCATTAATTGACTTTCCTTATAATTTCAAAATTTTAAAATAAAATCTTATTAATTTGTTTTGATTATTTTATTTAAATGATTTGTTTAAATTTAAAAGAGAAAAAAAACATTTTAATTTTAATAATTCAATATTTTCTCATTTTTCTTATAAATTTAAAATTTTCAAATGTTTATACATATTTAATTGTTTTAAATACACCCATGTAATACATGGGGCTAACACCTAGTGTAAGATAATATATAAAAGGCAAAAAAATAACAAAAAAATAATACTATATTAATTAGCTTACTTTACACAAATCCTTCCATACGTCCTCATTGAAACTAATAGGCTCAAAATCACGCATGATTGCAAAGTCATTATTTGTGTTCGGGATGTTGTAACCGGCCGCTCGAGCTCTATTTGCAGATTCATGTCGATATTCACTCATTATGTCTGAATAACGATCTTGCACCACACTTCTAAATCCACTCTCGATCATTCCATCATTTACCGAATCCCACCGATAGTATTTCTGTTAAAAAAAGAAACTAAAGCTAAAAGTGCAAACATAAAACAAATCAACTTAAGGTATGCAAATTATTAATTGATATTACCCCAAAAGCACGAAACATTTGCTATGTTATGTATGAAATACTTTTATCTTAGCAAAATATTATGCACATACATAAAAATACATATGTACACATACACTATATAAAATGTATAATGTTCTGTTTTAAGTATTATGTTATGTTGGTGTGTGCACTTACGTATGTATATATTATGCATAACTTGGTAAACTAAAACCAATTCATGTATAATGATGTTGTACAAAATATTGAACGAAAAAATCAATGTTTCATAATTTAATATTTGAAAATGGATTCTTTTCCTAGGAAATCTCTAGGAAATTTATGAGAACTTCCAATGGATTTCCGAGGAAATGCCTCATTCGTTACAAATTTGTAGGAAATGCATAGGGAGTTCCAAAGGATTTCCTAGGAATCAAAGTCATTTTTTCATTCATATTATTTTTTATTCGTTCCATACTTTGTGCAACTTTGTTATATATGAAATACTTTTATCTTACCAAAATATGTATTCTGCACATACATAAACATAAATATATACACATACACTATATTGAATGTGTAATGATAAACAAATGGTTTGAGTAATATGTTATTGTGGGGTACAGACTTACGTATGTATAAATCATGCATAACTTCATAAACTAAAAACAATTCATGTATAATGCAACTGTAAAAAATATTGAACGAAAAAATAAATGTTTCATATTTTAAAATTAGAAAATGGATTTTGTTCCTAGGAAATCCCTAAGAAAAATAACGGAACTTCTGATGGATTTCCGAGAAAATAGATTAGTCGTCACAAATTTATGGGAAATGCATAGGAAGTTTCAAGGGATTTCCTAGGAATCAAACAAAATTTTTCATTCTTATAAGTTCAAATGTTATTTTTTATTCATTCCATATTTTGTGCAACTTTGTTTTACATGAAATATTTTTATCTTACCAAAATATGTATTATGCATATACATAAACATTAATATGTAAACATACACTATATAAAATTTATAATGATAAACAATTGTTTTGAGTAATGTGTTATTGTGGTGTGCACACTTAGGTAAGTATGTATCATTGCATAACTTGGTAAACTAAAAAAAAAATTCATATATAATAAAGTTGTACAAAATATTGAATGAAAAAAATAAATGTTTCGTATTTTAATATTAAAAAATGGATTATCTTCCTAGGAAATCCATAGGAAATATGTGGGAATTTCCGATGGATTTCCGAGGAAATACATTAGTCGTCACAAATTTAAGGGAAATGCATAGGAAGTTCCAAGGGATTTACTAGGAATCAAACTCAATTTTTCATTCTTATTATTTTTTATGCGTTCCATACTTTGTGAAACTTTGTTATACATGAAATACTTTTATCTTACCAACATATGAATTATGCACATACATAAACATAAATATGTACACATACACTATATAGAATATATAATCATAAACAAATGTTTCGAGTAAGGTGTTATGGTGGTGCGCACATTTACTTATGTATATATCATGCATAACTTGGTAAACTAAAATAATTTCATGTATAATGATGTTGTGCACAATACTGAATGAAAAAATAGATGTTTCAACTTTTAATATTAAAAAATGGACTGCGTTTCTAGGAAATCCCTAGGAAAAATTAGTAAGTTCCGATGGATTTCCTAGGAAAGACATTATTCGTCACAAATTTCTAGGAAATGCATATGAAATTCCAAAGGATTTCCTAGAAAGCAAACACGTTTTTTCATTTTTATAGGTTCAAACGTTCTGTTTTTTGTTCCATATTTTGTGGAACTTTGTTATACATGAAATACTTTTATCTTACCAAAATATGTATTATACACATACGTAAACATACATATATGCACATACAATATATAGAATATATAATAATAAACAAATGCTTTGAGTAATGTGTTATGGTGGTGTACATACGTACGTAACACAAGTGTCTATATAAATTATTTAAGTCTAGTAACAGTCATGGTTTAATTTGTTTAAGTAACACAAGTGTCTATATAAATTGATCATTTGTATGCTAGTTCCTAGGAAATGCCTCGGAAATACTAAGGGAATACCAAGGAAAGTGTAGTAAGTACGACATTCATACGAAAAATGTAGGGACAATGACTGTATTCTCTACTAAACTCGATATGATTTATTTTGTTACAAGGGGAAAAAAATGTTAAAAAAATATTACTAAGGAAATACCGAGGAAAGTTGGGTATTGATAAAGATCCTAGGAAAAGCGTAGGAAATACCGAGGGAATACTGAGGAAAGTGTAGTTAGTACAACTTCCATGGGAAAAATGTAGGAACAATAAGTGTATTCTCTACATAAACTCGATATGTTTTTGTTGTTACAAAAAAAAATTGTTAAAAAAATATTACTAAGGAAATACCGAGGAAAGTTGGGTATTTATAAATATCCTAGGAAAAGTGTAGGAACTTCCGAAGGATTTCCAAGGAAAGCGCGTTTATGGTTATTCCTAAGCATTTCCTCGCTAATTGGTAGGTAATACAGAGAAATTCATTTTCCTCGGAAATATCCGTAGGAAATCCCTCCTTTTTCTCGTAGTGAATAATAGCATTTGAAAATTTATAGCATTTTTTATATTATATCTTGTATCAAATAAAATGCATATACTATTGTGTTTATAGATTATTGAATAAAAAATGTGTTTTTTATGATTTATTTACGTATATTATAGTATATGCGTATGTATGGACTCGAAATAATATGCATAGAGGAATTGAAATTTTTATTAAAAATTATAGCCTTTCTTAAAAAAAAAAAAAAAAAAAAAAAAAAAAAAAAAAACTTATCCACTTTCTTAAAAAACTTGTTTTGTAAAAAAATATAGATTTTATTTTAAATATATATTTTTTCAAAATAGTATAGTTTTTTTTTTTTTTTATTTTTATTTTATTTTTTTTTTTTGGGGGGGGGGGGGGGGGTTAAAAAAACTCATATTTTCTCAAAATTTAAATCTGCATTTTTTAAAAATTCAAAAAATTATTATTTTTGTAGAAAAAATTCAAAAATTAGATTTATTACTTTAATTTTTAGATCTTATTATTAATATTTCCAATAACACAAATAATTAAACATTAATAAGATTCATAAATGATGTTTATATCCTTAATAATTTAATTTTAATCAAACATTTCACTTTTATTCCTCGGGTTCGCATGACTCATGCATATATGAGTTCTTAACGGGTTGCCAACCATATTAATAAAGGTTGAAAATGATGGAATCATTCTAAGTCATTAATTTATTTTGCCGTAAAATGTTACGGCATACCGGACCGACGAAGATTGAGTAGTATTCAGATATTAATATAAATATATGTATATTCATATATGAATAAACCAACTTGATAACTAACCACGACCAACAACCGCCACCCCCGTAACCACCCATTGTCGTCAGTGGCGGAGGGAATACCGGGGCTACCCGGTGCTCAACCCCCCTAATCATCTATCCTTGAACGCTTTTAATAGGCTCATAATAGTTGACTAAGTCATTTTTGAGCAAATCTCTTGAATTAGAGTTTTTATTTTGTATAGTTAAATTTCCATAATTAGTCTTTTTATATTTTCTACTTACCGTATCTCTAAGTAAATTTGTTATGTTTTTATTTCTATAACTTCCAACACATACCTTCGACTACCACAACAAATACATAAGTCACATAAATATTATTATTATTGTATATTTTTCATATTTTATTCCACTTTACCACAATGTTGCAAATATTTTTTGGTATGTAGTACATAAAGTGGTAAAAAAAATTCATTTGTAAAAAAAAAAAAAAAAAAATCAAAGGAAGGTAGGATCGGATCGGATCTCGATCCTACGATCCTACCTACGATCTTACGATCTTACCTGCGATCCGACCCCAAATACGATCCTTTTACGATCCGGATCGTTTTTCATACCTAGGATCGTAGGATCGTACGATCCTACGATCAAGATCGCGATTTTGACAACTATGGTATGTACATACATATTATAATTCTTTTAGATTCACACCTTATTTCAAAAATATGTTATTATAGGTGAAATAGTAAAATAAACGTTGTATTTTTTATAGATTATTTTTTCTTGTCATTTTTTTTTCAAAATTAAAACATTTATTATAGTATTCGAAGATAAAATATAATTTAATAAATTATTGCGATGTATACCCCCCTCATTAAAAATTTCTGGCTTCGATCCTGATCGTCATCATATTTATATATGAAAAATCACTTCCGTTATACGTACTTATATATGAATATATATATATATATATATATATATATATATATATATATATATATATATATATATAGGTTCAGGTTCATTTGAGACCATCCAAATTTTATGAGAACGTGAAACCAAATTTTAAAATGCAAAATAAATGGAAAAATCCAAAAATTCTTTTTTTAAATATTATTTTCGGAACTTGAATTAACTAAAAAAATATATAAAAAAATTAAAAAAATTCCGTTTTTTTTTTTTTTTTGAAAAATACGTGAAATATTCTAAATAGAATATTACACTAACATATTCTTAAAAATAATTTTAAAATGCAAAATAAATGGAAAAATCTAAAAATTCTTTTTTTAAATATTATTTTCGGAACTTGAATTAATTAAAAAAAATAAAAAAAATAAAAAAAAATTCTATTTTTTTTTAAAAAATACGTGAAATATTCTAAATAGAATATTACACTGTACATATTCTAAAAATAATTTTAAAATGGAAAATAAATGGAAAAATCAAAAAATTCTTTTTTTAAATATTATTTTCGGAACATGAATTAACTAAAAAAATAAAAAAAATAAAAAAATACGTCTCACGATCTCACAAAATATAGGTGGTCTCAAATGAACCTAACCATATATATATATATATATATATATATATATATATATATATATATATATATATATATATATATATATATATATATATATATATATATTCATATATGAATTGATCTCTTCAGTTGGCCCGATATGCCCAAACACTTAAACAGCAAATTCAAAATGAG